ATTGTGCCATGAGCATGTTGTCAGTGGTTGGTTGGTTTCCTTTCCCAGACATTACTAACATCAGCATTCTACTATGTAATGCATTACTTGTTTATTTAAAAATGTTAAATTAATCTCACTGATCTGAGAGCCCCTGTAGGTATAACCAAAATGGTCAGCTTTTCCCAAGCAGTACTGAGGACTTTGGAGAAGATCTGGTTTTGATTACATTTTTTCATATTGGTCTATAGATCAGGTCAGTGGGCTCCTTTCAGTTTCAAAAGGAAAGTTGAAACAGACCAATGAAGATTAGAGATTTTTCAGTCACCTTGCACAGTACTTTGCTGAACAAGAATCAGGTCAGAACAAACAATGACACCTGTTCAGCCATATACAATAAGCAATATCACTTAAATGTATGGAGAAGCTTTGTTATTTAAAAAAAAAAAAAAAAAAAAAAAAAAAAAGCATCATAACTTTATTATCACATTGCCCTTTTTTTTTTTTTATGCAACACTATTGCAAAGTAACTTTAGACTGGATAGATTCACTGTCATTTACAGGCATTTTTTCTTGCCTACTTACAAAATGACAGAGTGGGCATTTTTGTTTTAAATGTGAGGAAGTAGAGGCATATCCACTAAATGTCTTAACAAAAGTTAAGTTTTTAATTTTATTCATATTTTGATCAATTCTTGATTTTTTTTTTTATTCTTGACAGCATCTCAAAAGTATTTTCCTTCTGATATCAGAGATAAGAAATAATTGCCTTATAATTGTAAATATTTATGATCTTTATCTACATAAACATGACCTACTTTCAAATGTAGTTTCATAATGTTGGCAGTAGGGAAAATTAATCACAGATACATGATGCATTGCTTCAGATAAAACATTCCAACACTTATTAAGACACAAAACAGCTTTTCTTCAAAATATGGCTCAGAGTCATTCTGGAAACTAATGGTTTTCCCACCCACATAAGCAGACAAGTAAGAATGTTCAAAAATGCTTTGTTTTCTCTGGGTCAGAGCACATCCTCTTGGCTTGTTCAACTACTCTGTTACAGTTTTATAAGAATTAACAAAATTCTGATGTGAATAGATCTACTCAGTTTTACCAGAATAGTTTTAGAAGCCATCCCTTCTGTAATTCTCTATAAATACTTTTATTTAAAAAGAGATTACTTCTTGTACATTTATATGTACTTATTCTCAATTGTTCTTTTCCACTGTAGTATTTTAACACCAATAATATTTTGTCTTTCAACAGTTCAAGGGTTGGTGGTATTTAAAACTGTAACATAGAACCTTGTGATGACTCCAACTTCACTAAGTCTTTTTTGACAGAAATGTACTTAAGAGAAAATTTATATTTTTGCAAAAGCCATCAGAGAATCATAGAATCATTAAGTTTGGAAAAGATCTCCAAGATCACATGGTCCAACATGTGATTGGACCATGGCTCTTTTACATGGTGGTAGAGGCTCCTCTACCACCAATACAACCCACTAAACCCATCATTCTACTGTTATTACAGTAATCCTCTTTTGTGGTAGGGTTCACTTAAATTCATTAAAAAAAAAAAAAAAAAGCATATTTCTTTATCTTCCCAGTGCCAATGGAATGTCTACGTGTAGTCACATCTAAAGAGGAAAAATTAATTGTATACATAATGGTTACTAAGGCTAGATCCTCCTGTCTACTTTCTTTTGAATATCGTGCTTCAGACAGAGGAGAGGGTAGCATCTTTTTGTCAAAAGATGATACCCTACAGAAGTTATGAAGAAACTTTCAAGTAAACTGAAAATACATTAAAAAAAAAAAAAATAAAGAAGAGCTTTCAGGGAGCTTCCTCCATGAAACTCATTTAATTTAACCTAATGTCAATCAGACCTAGAATACTCATAGCAGCATGAGCAGAGAGAATCAGGCTGTTCAAGGAAGATAATTTTCACAATAAGTCAGTCAATAATATATTACTAAAAGGACTAGTAAGGGAAAAGGAGTAAAAGTGTACTTTGCTCAGAGAACTGCTTTTCCAAATGAATGTGGAATATGGTTTCTATAAAGCTATAACAGGAAGTTAATTAGAAGATAAAATAGTTTCCATATATTGATATATCTTTTTGTCATGTCAGTTAAATAAAGAAGCATCTTACTTGTACAATTTTTATTAATAAATAAATAAATAAATAAATAAGTAAAATGGTCTTTTAACAACTTGGAAAATAAAAGTCCAGTAAGGGTCTATACAACATAAATGGACTATTAATAACCATAAAAGTGTTGTTTATGAACTAATTTGGATTTTTTTTTCTGATATAGAAGCTTACCAGATATAATTTTAGCCATGATAAAGACCTGTTTTGGGAATGCAGGAAAATCTTTTACATTAAAGCAGCCCTTGAAAATGCATGAGATTAATGTTCGGTTTTCAATTATGGTTATAACTCTTTAAGTTAGTAGAGCAAAAGATTCAAAGTTGAGAAAGAAAGCATGTAAGAAAGCGTGTAAGAAAGCGTGTAAGAAAAAGGAGTCTAGACAATCCTTGCAGAGATGGACTCAGAATTTATAGGCATAAGAGTTATGAATCAATCCATGCTAGGAAAACAAAGCACACAAACTGAAGTTGATCACTTCAATTTCAGAGTTATTCAAGAGTTTGTTGTTTACTTTCTTTTCTCTATTTTGCTACAATGTAATTTAACATAAATGCAAGTGCTTATCTCTGTTTTCCATAGGATTTCCTTTAAAACTGCTGTTTCCAAATGCAGTTTGCTTGGAACTCCATCATAGAAAGGAAATTGCTTTGCCACCTACTTAATGAGATGGATCACACTTTTGGAGTGCATAGTACTGTATAATCAGACTCCCAGTAATGATAATGACGTTAGTAACAGGAACCCTTATATAGGTGTCTATATTAACAGACACCTTTATATAGGTGTCTATATAAACAATTTAGAGTCAGAAGGAACTGCTTCCTCCTCTGTAATCTCTAGGTATCCTCTAGGGAGCCAAATTTCATACTCTCTTAAGTATACTTCTATTGGACCACACAAACAGAACAGAACAAATCCTTGGAACAGAAAAGTTAATAAAAAGTGTCACACAAGTATAATTATTAATTATATATATATATATAATTAATCTGATTATTATATATATTATACATATTAAACTTGATGTCAGAGTGTTCAGGTGCTTGTTTGCAAGTGGATGAAATCAAACCCAACAATGACAAGATTTAGTTTTATACACTTTAAAGCACACGATACATATGCTTGTTTAAATAAACAATTAATGTAGCCTGAAAGTTAGTTTGACTTGCTTTTTTTTTTTTCCCCCCCTTGGAATGCTGACAATTCTTTATTCAATTGTACTGCTATGACAACTTCTTCATTTATCAGCAATTGACATATATTTAAAAAATATATTAAAAAAAAAAAGTAGAAAACAACATTTAAATTTAAAATAATAAGTACCTCATTGTTACAATATTTACAGCTACAAAAATATAGCTAGTTGAATTAAAATTTGCTCTAGGAAAAAAATAGTTTTTTCCTGATAGAAAGTTGCCCTTACTCTCCATATGTACTTGCCTATTATATTTCAGAGGAAAAGCACCAACTAAAATTTGTGCAGTAAAAGTGGTAGGAGACAAGTTATTTTATTCTTACAAAAAGCAATGTGGAACATGAAAATTTGTGTTGATAAATTCTGCAGATATTAGTGGAATAATATCTGAATTCTATATCAGATATTATTCCACTAATATATATAGAATTATTATTATGGATAACAACTGCTAGTCTCTTCAACCCACAGATTAGCCAACCAGTAGAATAATAAATTTGTACGTTTTAAATGATTTCAAGATCCACCCCTCTTGGTGCTGAAGTCAACCACAACGATTTAAGTCTGCTTATTACCAGCTGCTTTAAATTATTAATTTTCTGATGAATTTATTTCTCAGTTTTACCTGAAGTAAATATCAATACTTTAGATTTAATTTAGAAATCTGGCCTTAATAAAAAGCAGGCTATGTGCACATACGTAAAAATGACAGACATGTTATTTCATTATTTTTTCCACTCAAAGGTTTTTGAGAATTCTCTGGAATGTTTTTTTTTTTGTTTTGTTTTTGTTTTTTTTGATGTAGGTATGACTAATTCCACTGATACCTAATATTTTATAAAAATACTTTTAATCTTCAGTATATTATACAAAAAAGTAAATTCAGAAGAAGATCCCCAAATGAAAGTTTTCTAACACACAGATGATCTAGAACAAGAGTTAGGCTTCTAGCAATGAGATTATGCATAGCAGAGTCTGCTTTACAAAATGGCTTTAAGAATCAGTGTGAAGTGAGAAAAATAAAATGCAGTTAACTGGACATTCAGTAGCCTGTTAGTTCTATCTGCTATATTAAACTGAACAGAATTACTTTTGAAATTTGGCCCTTTCTCATTGCTAATGGGTCATCCATATACTCTCACACCATCTGGTATATTAACCTTTCAAATAGTGACAAACTAAAATATTTGTCCCACATCAACAAGCCATAGTATTAATAAGCCATATTTCATTGCATTATTATAATGTCATATAGCTAAGAACACCTCTCCCTACATATACTTTTTTCTTATCTTATCCTCAGATATTTTCTGAAGGAAATTAGGATTATTAGGATATTAATCTCATTAGATGAATTTATGAAAAGAGAAACACTGTGAAAACACTACTTCTAAGAACAAAATGCAATATGAACAGCTGCAAACTCAAACAGAATTATTATGGCACTTTAGGTTTATACCACCAGTAACAGTTGAAAATTACTAAAGTTTATCCTATTCCAGCATATCCTGTTAAAGATGTATTTCACACAGTGATTTAAAAAAGGATTTCAGCACTGAAACAATATAAGTCTTTAAGTCTCAGTATTTGTATTAACTTCTAAATCAAAAATAAGAAACAAATATTTAACCAAATACTGCTTTGAAAATTTAAAAAACTTACCTTGTTATTGTAAATAAGTACCCTTCTATATCTGAAAAACAACAATAACAACCTCTGTGTTTTATGTTTTACACTATGTAATAGGGTGTTAGAATTAATATTACCCAGCAGTAGTAAAAGGAAAGGAGAGAAATATCTAGCTAAATCTAACTCAGCTACATACTTCAAATAACTGTTTCCTGATCTTCAGTACTTTGCTGGGTATTTCAGACCTTTTTTTTCCCTACTATCAGTATGAAAGTAACCCATACTCTGTAGCAAATGAGAAATATAAGAATAAGTAATAAGCCCTCAATCTTACCCCTTACCCTCTGGGTTTTCTGGGCTCCTCTTGCTTCTCAGTGTTACAGAGACGTGTAAACAACAGAATTTCCTGCATCCTTTTCTCATCTACACTGTACTGGGACTTGGCCAACAGGATTATTTACAACATTAGGGCCACTCCACAGTAACTTGAAAATGACTCCCCATTGGTCAGGTTTTATCAAAACTAAAACCACAACATTTTTCCTTTATGTGCAAGTCATTTATCCAAAATAAAACATTTTTCCATGTTGTTCTTCACTAAGTATTACTTTCTTATATTTATATTCCTCCTTACCTTTCTAAACTGAAGACCATGACCCCAGTCGCCTAAAGGTTATGTAAAAACCTAAATTAATTATTCTAAATGTAGTAATTAAGCACATGCACCCACACTGGGTGGATTCATATGTTACTTCTTGCTCTTATGCAGATTTCCTGGCCAACTATATGGCAGGTCCTTGAGGTATAAAGCTGATACGGTTTGTTGCAGTTAATATGATTTGCTATAGCTCTGAGCAGCTAAATATTTTCAATTATAAAAAACAAAACCTCATATACAAAATACTGACAATTCATATGTCATAATCTCAGACTGAGAAGCCAGGGCTCTTCTAAGTTTTAAGAGCATAACTCGATTTCCCTATTAACATTTCATTGCCTTTTCATCACTATAGAAGTCTTCATTGTGAGTAGTAGCTATGGCTACAAGACTTCATTTAACTAAGAGGATTCTCTGATGAATCTGATTCACAAAATCTACTGCACTGATTGGAGACAAAGGGCATACAGTTAAAAAAAGGGGGGGGGAGGGGAATTACATGAGGGACCTAGGCATTTCTATGTAAATAATAATAATAACAAAAATAAATAAATTTAGAAGCCTCTATCAAATTTGTGCGTCTATATATATACATATATAAACAATAAAATAAGGCAACAGCTACTTTATACATATTCCATGACTCCTTCAGCCACATATATCTCATCTCCCACTAGAATACTCTCTGGCTATATTCCATTATCCCTACTGTAGGAAATCAATTCACAATTTTTAAATCAAATTATGTACACATCATAACTTACATTGTATGTTATTCATTTGTAACTAACCACATTTCAACCCATTCATAAGATGCAGACCTCACTTCCCACCATTCTACTCTTACTGCAATTTCTGCCTGCAACCAAGAAGTCTGTTCCATTGCCCTTACTCAGACGATTTTGCAATTTCTAAAGAAATTGATATGCAGTCATCAGGAAGTTAGAACACAGGAAGTTAAGTAACTTGCATCAGAACTGAAAATGCCTTCAGACGTGAAGCTTTCTAACAGAGGATTTATGCCTCTATTTCCCCCTCCCCCTTAAAATAAACAAATAAAATTAAAAAATAAAAATCAATATGACACTGTGAAGAGTACTACTGTTGGAAGTACCACTAACTGCTGCAAATATCTTTTTTTGGGGGGGGGGGTTGGGTAGGGAGGAGCCTAGGGGGAAAAAAAAAAAGCACATGGTAGGCCAATAGTAAACCTAGAATGACAACTCAGGTTCTGTTCTGTTGCACCTGTCGTACTCACCAAGTCTTGGAGGAATCTTGATTTTATGCCATTGTTATAGGTATATTCAAATTTAATTTAAAAATACAGATTAAATTTGCGAAGTTACCACGTGAAATTGTACGGATCACATAGGTGGCACATTTTATAAACTTACAAGAAATAAATTGTAAATGCAATAATTCATTGACTTTGGAGAGAAAATCAAATTTACAAAGGCAAACAAAAACTTTTCATACTAAATAAGCTTGTGGATTGCAAACCTGCATGAAACTAGAAAACTACTAGGGAAAGATGACAAGGAACTTAATATCATAGCTAGATTTGAAAAGCAATTGCAAATGTTTACTTCAAAAATGGAATACCCAGCTATTCTTAGTTGCAAATATAATCTCCGTTTGGTCTGATTTGGCCATTTAACCTGATTTTGGCTTGTAATTGTATTGTACAACAATTGTATTGTAATTTGTAATAAAAATTACAATTGTATTGTAATTGTTACAGAACAGGTGTTGCCAACATGCAAACTTGCTAACATGTGAACTTCCACAAATGAATTTTATTTTTATATTGGGTTTACAGGGCAAGGTTTTGGTAATAGGGGGCTGCTGGGGTGGCCTCTGTGAGCCCCATGTCAGATCAGAGCCAGCTCCAGCCAGCTACAAAGGGACTCACTGCTGGCCAGAGCTGAGCCAGAGTGATACTGGTTGGGCCTCTGGGAGAACAGATGGAAGAAAGGGAAAAAAAAAAAGCTGCATAACACCAGCTGGGAGAGAGGAGTGAGAACCAGTCCTGCAGATCCCAAGGTCAGTGCAGAAGAAGGGCAGGAGGTGCTCCAGGCACACAGCAGCAGTTCCCCTGCTGCCTGTGGAGAGGTCACTGATGAAGCAGGCTGTCCCCCTGCAGCCCATAAGTCCCACATGGAGCAGATCTCCATGCTGTAGCCCATGGACGAGCCTCCAGTGGAACAGGTGGATGTGGCCTGGAGGAGTCTGCGGCCCATGGAGAGCCCCTGCAGGAGCAGGCCCTGGGCTGCAGCCCATGGAGAGGAGCCCACACGGGAGCAGGGGATCTGGGGGGAGCTGCTGCCTGTGGGGGACCCGTGCTGGAGCAGTTTGCTCCTGGGGGATGGATGGACCCCGTGGTACAGAGCCATGTGGGAGCAGTTCTTGAAGAACTGCCGTGGGCAGCCCACGCATGATCAGTTTGGGAAGGACAGCATCCCATGGGAGGGACCCTATGTAGAGCAGGGGCAGAGAGTGACCATGAAGGAGCGGCAGAGACGAAGTGTTAGGGACTGACCACAGCCCCCATAACCTGTTCCTCTGCACTGCTCGAGGGGTAGAGGTAGAAGAGGGTGGATGGAGGGAAGGTGTTTTTTAGTTTGTTTTTAGTTTCTCACTGTTCTAGCTTGTTAGTAGTAGGTAATAAATAACATTTATCTTACTTTGTTGAGTCTGATTTGCCTGTGGCAGTAATTGGTGAGTATTCTCCCTGTCCTCATCTCAACCCATAAGCTATTTTCATTGTATTTTCTCCCCATTTTCCTCTGAGGAGGGGCAGTGGGAGAGTGGTTGTGGTTGACTTGTGCTGCCCAGCTGAGTAAAACCATCACAGCTGTCTTCCTAGAAATCATTAGGTAAGTAAACAATTCCTGGTAAGCTCGTACTAAGAACATTTATACACCTGCCAAGAGAATCAGGCCATAGTAGTTTCTTGAAATAAATAAATAAATAAATAAATCAGTAAGTAACACGTTTTGACACGTGGCATCCATTGTCATCTGGATTTTTGCATCCCTGACTAGTGTGACTAGTGTGGGATGGACTCCATTCCCTTGGAGTATATTTGATTTTTAGCAGTATGCTTAATCTGATTTTTCAAGACCTGCAGAGGAGCATTTACAAAACACAGAAGACAAACTTTGAATTTTTTAATGTGATCCTGGGATCACAAAGGAAGAGACACAATTCTTTTTAGGATTATTGAGCCAATGAAGAAAATAATTTAATTTGTCTCAGAGAAGAAAGTTAGAGCAAGTCTTTTTTCAAAACATATAAGTTAATTATACTTACTATATTGATGCATTTCCTACGCAAATACAAAAAATTAAATTGCAATATTAGTCTTCAATACTGTTATAAATGAAGTCTCAATCTGAATTTAGTAATATTTATACTTATATAAGGTATAAAAGCTATAAAAGGTATAAAACGTATAAAAGGCAAGTAAACAGCGCTGGGTGCGTGGGGAGTCTACACTCCACCAACACGCACACACAAACATCAAACATTCTAAATATATACAACATCGCTTTTACATATTAAACACGAGAATGCCTATACATACGTACAATCAGGAAGGGTAACAAACAATCCTTTAAGTTCCCTCACTTAACTGTCTCCATTTTCCATTCCTTTTGAACAATATGTCTCGCTTTAAGTTGTCAAGCAACTCAGTCTTCAGGCCTTACGTATCCCGTTCTTCCCAGATCGAAGAAAAACATATCCATCTCCTTTTCAAGGCCAATAGGCCTGGGTCAAAAGGCACGTTCAGGTCAACAGGGGGCATAACAGCAAAAGCCTTTGATGGCTGTAGCAGCAGAGGGGCCCATGGCGTAGCAGAAGTATCAGTAAAGGAGCCCGTAGTTCCCTCACTATCTGGCAAACCACACGTTCCTGACTGTGGCCCCACATGGCTCTTTAAGGCCTCAGAGACTGCTCGCCAGGTGCCAAGCGGTCCCACTGCAACCTTGTCGTTTTTAGTTGCAGAGTCCCAAACCTTGACCTCAATTTGGGCCCATAATTCAGGATCATAAACTGTCTGATTGTTAAGAAGGAGAATAAGCTGCAAGGTTACCAGGACAGTCTTTGTTTCTAAGGACGTATGATTCCCCATAATGCGCAGCTGCTTACCAGCGAGGGGCAGTTGTGTGTGCAGGTCCGTATCTCTCAGCTTGAGCTTCTTCCCAGCTCCGGTGCGCCCATTTCCAGTAAGTTTCTGTACAAGCTTCTCTGAGCGGTTTGCTGAGTTTGGCCGAACCCATCTTCATGAGGCAATCAATCTGCCTGTTTCCGTCCTGGTCTCCATTCTGCCAGCCTGTTCCTTTTCACTCCTTTTTCCTGCTTCTTTATTGTGACTTAACTTCATTGTGTTACCTTTTCTTTTATCTTGAGGGCAGGCTCCCCTCTTATACCCTTCTCTCCACAGCAGTTCTTTTCAAAACAACTTTTCATTGGTCAAACAACTTTGAATATAACAACAGCAGCAAACACCCAGAAACTTCCATACCTTAAGGGCTGGAGAACAAGAAAACGACCCCAGACTGCATGGAGTCTCCTGAATCACCCTTCTTTGTTCCCTTTAAACGCTTTTATATTCCTGATGGCCTTAGCATTAAGAGTCTGATGTTATCTCAACCACGGGGCTTTCCGACCCACCCCCATGGCCACATTCCCAAATCTCCCCCTTCTTTATTAATATCAACCATTTTCTCAACCCGAATTACCACTCCATATATAAC